CGTCAAAAGTCACGAAATGAATCCCAATCAGTACGCTGGTCACAGAAAGATATCTTGTGAATAGGAGGTTTCTGTCTAATACCAAAAGAACCAAAAGAAATATAAACGGGAACTACAACGTGATCCGAATTTCCAAGAGGACAAAGTTGTGACGCTCGACAAGAGCTAGGAGAGAAGGTAAAGAATGAATCAAGTAAAGAAGCATGTAGATCAGAATTATTCGAGAAACAAGAAGGGAAATCCACTATTTGATTGAGAGACTGAGCAACGGAAAGATTGAAAGTCCATTAACATCAGTAACATTAGAATGATTAAATCACCTGGCGTGTGAGCATTAAAATCACAAAACGCAACAATGTTTGTAGATGAATGCAGAGAGAGAGAGAGAGAGAGAGAGAGAGAGAGAGAGAGAGAGAGAGAGAGATATTTCCACTTACTTTGTCTAATATGTTACAGTCCTGAGAAGGGGAGCGATAAAAGAAAAAGAGATGGTTAACAGAGTGCAATAAACTCAAAAAACATGAAAGTATCATCTGGGAACTCAAGAGATAATACATTTGTCATTAGAAGATTTTTCCAGACGTAAACACTAATGTTTCCTAGAATCATTTTGACAGAGGAAGATAGCCTGGAACAGGAAATTCATTAGTCGTGATAGAAGAATTTAAATTAGTTTGGCAAAGTGCTAATATGTCTGGAGAATGTTTCAAAATAAAAGATTCGGCACTACAGAAATTGGTACGAATACCACAGATATTGGAGAACGAAAGGTTGAAGGGGCAAGTATTTTTTTGTTTACTCGTATTTCTTTTCATTTCATCTGTCATAAGAGGATTATATTTTAAAGAGAAAAAGGTGAAAATAATTATTACAATCTTTTCGTCTATAACAATACAAACTGACAAGAAGGTAGGTAAGATTAAAATATAATTTGGCCTCAGAGTTGTCCACGGGAAATATATGCAGAGACACCTGTCAATGTGAGACGTGGGACTGCAAATAACCCGGCATTCTATAACTGTTGAGCAGAACATCATCTCTAAGCGCTATCAAAGAGTTCGGGTACCTTACTACCAGTCTGTTGCCTCAACCAGAAAACTGCCAACCCTCATAATGAAAAGTCACAGTCACTGCTAAGTTAGCTCACCAAAAAGGTAAGACAGTTAAAACATTAAGTCTATGGAATAAAGGAACCGACAAAACAATATCCTAAACAAGAAACAAGGAATAAACTTCTACTTCTGTTCAATAAACATGAAAAATGTACTGGTCGGGCGAGATAAGAACGTATCTACTAACCTATTCCCAGCACAGGCGTTTGGGCACTTTTAACGAGATACCATCTCTAGGAAGGATCTCGACCTCTTCCAGACCAAGTCAGTGGAATTACTAAATTATTAAAACCACTCTGAAGTTTATCCCAAAAGTTTAAATCAAAAGAATATAAACATAAAGTTAGATTACTTAATCAAGTTAAAAATTAATAAAATTTTAAACATATATAATATAAAAAATGTAAAATTATATGAAAATGAAGCCATGTTGCTTATGAATATTACATGTATAAAAACGCCAAAGTGAAGATTGACGGTTTATAAAAAAAAAGATATGTATATGAAATTTATTTTTCAAAAATTTGTAGAAAAATGAGACTCAAATCTGATGGTCTCTAAATCCGCCCAAATAATGTTTTCGAACAGGTGTGGTTTAAAGAGCTACATTTTGTGATTTGTTAACTAATGGGGAAAGTAAGTTACACTCCATAGTTTTCAATTTTTGATTCAATTTTCTTTCATAAGAGAAGGTGAATAAATCAAATTTCATTTTTATGTACATGAAGATGAAATTAAAATTATTCATTTCACTTATTGTAAAACTCAGATTTGCGCTATTAGACAACTAGTGCCAGCCACTAACTAATTAAGCACTTTACTTTTGGGGTCTGGTGTGACTTCTTTTTATTTTGTCTTTTGGTTGGTTGATTTTTGTCATAATCCCCTTTTCTGGTTCTTTTTTTTTCTGGGGTGCTTCAAGTTCGTGAACTGTGTCTGAATAGTTTTTACTTGGTTACTTTATTTGCTACGACATGAATAAGAACCATTTCCGAGCCTGAGCGATAGTTTTCTATTATTTTAGTTGAAGATGTGATAGTTTTTGTTCTAGTTTTGGTATTTTTAATATTTTTTTCTGTTGAATATCTTTTATTTATTTATTTATTTTTGTAGGGTACTTACTTGTAAATAATTATAAACCCCTTAATTTTTATATACATAAAAATACTCTTAAAATGAGAAACAGCAGGACGTGGAAACAACAAAACAAGTATTATTTATTTTGGGATTCTTATGTGGTGTTGGAGAAATGAGAGACAATAATACTGAATAAAATTGTGAGTTTAGGGTCAAATGTACATCAAATATGGATCGGATTCCAACAGAATGATAAGATACAAAATAAGTAAAATGTATACAGTCTTTCTTATATATATATATATATATATATATATATATATATATATATATATATATATATATATATATATGAAGAATATAGCCTTAAGGTGTGCTATATTTATTGGATATAGTGGTCAATATCAGAGATAGAGCGTGTGTAAATATAAAAGTGAACATAGAAATCAACACTAGAAGCGACAGCCTGTTTCATGCTAGACGCAATCGTTAGGTCACCCTGACGATTGCGTCTAGCATGAAACAGCCTGTCGCCTCTAAGTGTTGACTTTTATATTCACTTTTATATATATATATATATATATATATATATATATATATAGATAGATAGATAGATAGATAGATAGATAGATAGATAGATAGATGTGTGTAATGAGTGTCCAGATAATGTACTTGGAAAAATATAAGAAGTATCTGGGTTTTGCTTACCTCGAATTTTTGTTAGGTGCCAAATGATAAATGTTACTATTATAGCCTGAAAAATAGGAAGAAGGAGATGGAATTTTCGTTGACGTGCGTGTTGACGACCTGTTCACGTCAACTGCTCGTCCGATAGTGAGAATGTCGCGTGCTTGCGTGTGTAGAGGAGAAAACTGGGGTCGATTCTCATTGGTTCAAAATGAGTGAATTAATGATGATTATAATTGTTATAATTATTTTATTACAATTATTTGGGGCAATATAATTAATTTTAATTCATTTTTTATGGACATGACACCACGACAGCATAATTATGTTCTTGTTTATGTATTTCTTTATGGACACATCTTTATATCAGCATTTGTTTCTAATTACCTGGTGCAACTTGCATATCACACTACTAAAACCTTGCACCAGATTAAGATGTGCATCGAAACAGTAATATATTAATTATAGCACTCTTCCTTAATGAAATCTTTATTTAATGTTAATGCCGGTTTATTTTCCTTGTCTATGAATTTGTTAACTTGCTCTTTGGCGATGCTGAAATGTCGACGAATGTTCAACGCCCATAAAAACTGTATACAAAGTGAAAGAAAAGGAAACTATTTTAGGACAACTGTGTAGAGGACCGGTCGTTGTTTGCGTGCTATTGTATTAGAAAGACGTGTGTAACTCATGGTAGAATATTAAAAGGTCCAACTACAAGAAAATGGCCGGACTTGAATTAAGTCCAACTGAAGATAAAGAATACAAAACAAGACCGATATATATATATATATATATATATATATATATATATATATATATATATATATATATATATATAAACATTGAATTTAAACATGTATCAATATGGTGATTTCCTTTCATCTTTCAATGATAATGTTATTAAGCTTATCAAACAATATGAAAAGAACTTACTTAAAACAAATAGACAAAACTTGTCTATATTATTTAATGAAACATGCATCAATGAAAAATTGCTGCCTAAATATACACAATATATAAACAAATATATGTATTAAACAAAACAATTTTACAATGGACAATAACATTTGTGTGTGTGCAAATATTTGTGTTTGTTCTTTGGTGAATGTCCGTGCGTACGTGTATACGTGTATAATGTTCATGGCGTCTACCACAAATCGGAAGACGCGGATCTTCTAAGAGAGCTTACATTGTAGTCGCTGAAATGAAGAAATGAAAAAGAGAACGAGGCGAGAAGTCAGCCAGTATTTATAGTAAAGGGAGAATGATCCCTAGTGACAATTTGGGAATTAAGGAGGAGCTAACTCCGACAACTGTAAACAATTTTTACGAACAGTAAGTCACCACTCACCAGAGGACAGATGTAGGTCAGTGGTAAATAGTTCGACTCGTGCTGAGGAGGATACACCGAACTGAACGCTGAATGGAAAAAAATATTAAAAACAGTCATTTTATTTTTACTGAGGAGATCAATCTTGAATGATAAATTGTGGCTATTTTTTTGTTGTTTTACCTTATTTCATGAATTGTTTGTTGCTAAAACTCTCCATGTTATACAGACTTATCATTTCATTGACAATGATGTTCTGTTCATAAAAACAAGGACTGAAAAAAATTCACATAGTTAAAATGTGTATGAAGTACTCATCTATAAATGGGGACGTAGCTCGGTGGTAGCCATTCGGCTGCAGATCGAGAGATCCCCTAACCTCGATTCAATCCCGGGTGTCCCCTTTTGTATACTTTAAAAGAATTATTTTCATTTTGTTAGCTTTAATCCTAAACGTCTTAGACGTTTTAAGACTTACAAACAAAACATTTATTTTTTATTTAGTTGATTTTTTATTGGTTGGTTCGTGTCCTTCGATTATCAACCCCTTGTTGGTTATTTACCAGAAAATATTTTTTTAAATCGCCAGAATTTTATTTTAGTGATAATAATCGTTTCGTGATACAAGTCTTACTAATTAACCCGTAGCGGGGGGGGCGAAGAGGTGGATTCATACCTTTCTCAAGGGTATTTACGCGTAAGTGAATATAACGACCTCATCGTGAATTGGATCTCGGCACTACAGTTAGCGATTCCGAGCCATTATTCATTGCACCACGCACGCATAAAAGCTTACAGCGCCAGTTATTCCAAATTGGTAACCCATCTAGCTACTGACCAGGCTCAACGTTGCTTAATTTCGGTAATCGTACGGGATCTGGTGTTTCAACGTGATGTTGATTTTCTAAGCTTACCTGAGGTGAGGCTCAGGCCCGAAAGTATGGGGCACCTAGTGAGGAGTGAACTTACTACTCAGTCGTAACTGATTTAACGAGACAAGCTTGATAATCAAAACAAAGTGTCCAATTATTTTCTAAGCGTAGCTTAAATGTGGTACAAGGCCGAAAGTATGGAGCACTCAGTGAGGATCGAACTCACTACTTAGACGTAATTGATCTGGCAAGACAAGCTTGCTAAATATTATACACCACGTTGAAGTTCCAAGTGATTTTCTAAACGTAGCTTAGATGTGGCACAAGGTTGAAAGTGTGGAGCACCCAGTGAGGCTCAAACTCAGTACTCACTCGAAACTGATCTAGCAAGACAAGCTTGCAAATCATTATACACCACGTTGGCCATGGTGCGATGCGTACGTAAGGCTTTTTATTTCTTAATCTATTATTAATGCTTGTTACCACTCCAATAATTCTTGAAAGGATAGACTTACTACTGCGTTTATTTTAAACGACAAAGTTCTACACATTTGAGAGAAAATACAGTTTTTTTTTAAATTTTGTATTGAAAATTAAAAGCATCATATTATATAGCATCTCTCTCCGAGGATAAAGCTTCTTAGTGACGATGCATTCAACCAGCCGCCCACGATTTCATGTTCAGTCTCAAATGCTTTTCATAAGTTAATATTTTTACAGAATTCGATCAGGTGATTTGCATACGATTTTTCTTTCTCTTGCTCTCCTACCTGATGTATGACAATTGGGTAATGAAGGAGAAAAGAGAGAAAAATTTTGAGGAGGAAAAAGAAGTGAAAAGAAAGAAAGAAAGAAAGAAAGAAAGAAAGAAAGAAAGAAAGAAAGAAAGAAAGAAAAGAAAAGAAATAAACAAAGTAAGAGAAAGAACGACAGGAAGAGAGGAAAAATTAAAAGAAAGAAAGAAAGAAAGAAAAGAAAAGAAAAGAAACAAAGGAAAGAAAAGAAATAAACAAAATAAGAGAAAGAACGAAAGGAAGAGAGAAAAATTAAAAAGAAAGAAAGAAATATTATAGGATACAAATCCTATATCATTCCAACAAGTGCCTAAAAAACACAAAGTAGATTTGCACACCCGCAAAATCGGATCAAAACGATTAAAAACAGATTTCGCAATAAGGTGTGAAATTAATTTTCTGACCAATGAAAGGAGGCGATTTGCTAAACCAAAAAAAAAAAAAAAAAATAACGAGCCAGTGTGAAAAAAAAAGTCAACAATAAATACAGAGTTTCAAGTCAGTCGCCGGGTCAGAAGGGCGCAGAGTCAGTCGACCCAGTACTTTCTGAGCGACTGTTCGGTTGTACTCTCTTCATACGGACGGGAGAAACCCGAAGGAGGCTACGCCGAAGGGCGGAGTCTCCTTCGGGAAGGTAGACCGGTTCTGAACCCGTTTATACGGGTTCAATGGGCATATTTTTGGCCGAGCTCACGGGCTCGGAATGCCCACGTTAAAAAGGTGTTGTGCCACATGACACCCTCGTGGGGGGGTGTGACTGAATATCGTCAGAAGGGCGCAGAGATCATAGAAGACTGACAGTGACTCAACCCGACACTAAGAGCCGAAAGTGGATTAGGAAATGACAATAACAACAACAAATTTACAACTGACTCCAAAACAATTCATAAGTACATTTTCTTTTTATCTTTTATTCCTCATCCACACGCTCTCTTTTTTCAACTTAAATTGATCGCCCCTTTTTCCTTTACACATATACAAAAACAAAAGAAACAGACATTACTCTGCTACTCTGTTAAAAGACAGTGAACACAGACATTTTTATCAAAATCACATTTTTGCTTAAACGAACTAAAACATTAATCTTTTTTACCCTATTAACAAGATAATGAATATACAATGTTCTATTTTCTATAAACGTTCCATAACGTGTTGTTCATTCTTGAAATTTGCGTTGTGTTTTGTGGGGAGGGTATCCCGTATTAAATTCTCCTTTAATCCGGGTACGCTGAACCCTACAATATTAAAAACATTTTTCTGATTTGCTGGATTCTGGCGATTTTGTAAGCGAAGGTTAGATGTGGCCCAAGTCCGCAAATACTGCGTATCCAGTAAGAAACGAACTCACTACTCAGTCGTAATTGTACTTTGACAATTACACCACGTCGACGTTCCACGAGCTTTCAGGATTATGCGTCTTATATCACTTGAAATATTCCTTTGCCAATGTCATTGGATTATCTCTTCGGGTTTAGTTATTTTTTCCTTTATTGCTGACTTGTGCAAGAAGCGAAAAACAAAAAAATATAAGAGAATAAACAAAGATAAAGATGAAATAGTTTTAAAACAAACGGTGGTGTGGGGGGTAGTTAATTGTTGTTGGTTAGAAAAGAATCAGAAGGATTTTTGATTAAGGTTGCGTTTTTACACATTCCACTTCCATTTTTGATTAAGGTTGCGTTTTTACACATTCCACTTCCATTTTTGATTAAGGTTGCGTTTTTACACATTCCACTTCCATTTTTGATTAAGGTTGCGTTTTTACACATTCCACTTCCATTTTTGATTAAGGTTGCGTTTTTACACATTCCACTTCCATTTTTGATTAAGGTTGCGTTTTTAAACATTCCACTTTAAATTTGTAAAGAAAACACAAAATTTAATGAGAGATCAATGAAAATCAACAAGTAAACATATAGTATTGAAATAAGCATAATTCTGTTAATAACAATAAATATTAAGTCACGCGAAGTAGTTTCCCTTGTATTGTGTGAAGAACAAATGTGTGTTGTAATAATGACTTTTGTTTAAATTTGTTGGTAGTTTAAGAATGTTTGATGTTTGAATTTGAAAGTTGAAATATTTGTGCAGAAGAATGATATAGTTCGAATAATTGACGTGGCTTGTAAACAGACAGTACACCGTGTTGTGTGAGTGTAGTTTATATCTGTGGGTGTTTGTGAGTAGAAAATTGAATATACACGTACGTGGTTTAGGTTGTGAAAATTTATAATCTACTGAAGTTATTTCTTTAATTTCTAGTTTTTATAGATGTAAGGAGGCTCCCAGAACGAGCGCGGGAAAGATATTGAAGAAAGTGTCATGTAATGTGATTGGCCAAAAATCGACCAATCGTTGATTTTTTTTCTATAGCTAGTTTGGTGAAGCAAAAACATTAGAAATTTGCATGTGGCTCGTGCGATGTGTAAATTGTCTGTACAAAAGGTATTCTTTATTTTACGTCCAATTACTGTTGAGTAATTTGTGGGAGTGGTATACGTAGGCGTCCACTACAGTGGGAAAGTGGAGGAAAAATTACAAGTTAACGAAGTAAAGATATTGTGAAAGAAAACTACATGTAAATTCTTGATTTCAAAAATGAATAAACATTAATAAAATCCCATTTTTTCGTTTCAGGAAGGACATGACGACATGGGTATCTAGCTCAGTAGAAGGGCGCTCGATTACAAATCAAGAGATTGCCGGTTCAATACCTGTTGTCTCTTCCAAATTTCTCATCTTCGACATAAACTAATTTGTTACGTGGCAGAAATAATTTTATACCTTCTTTCAGAAACAGTCGTAAGATTTTACACTATTTACATTGTTTGGACAATTGCGTCGCGAGGATGTAGCTCAGTGGTACCACATTCGACCTTTGTCATAATTAGTAATGCGGTAGAGACAAGGTGATGTAGCTCAGTGGGAGAACATTCACAGGCAGATCGGTCGAGATTCAAATCCAGATGTCCGTAACAAACTTGTTTTCACAAAGATAATTTCTTATGAAGCGGAAATCATTTTATACCTAAATTCAGAAATACTAACACAGTTTACAGTGGTCCGCACATTACCTTCATCATTAGCTGGAGCATTGATATGAGGATGTAGATCAGTAGTAGAGCATTCCACTGCTGGAGATCTACGCTTTAATCCCGGATGTCCAATACAACAACTTTATCATTCACATCATTGACATCGTTTCATTGTAGTAATCATTGTGTTTCCGAAATGTTTTTATGATTGACACTAATTATGTTATTCCGACATTTAATTCGCCGTTTAAGCCGTGAGGGCATAGGGATATAGCAAAGCGGTCAAGCATTCGACTGCAGATCGAGAGTTCACCGGTTCAATCCCGGATGTCCCCTTCAACTTCTTAACTTCCGCATCATTTACTTTGTAGAGTTGCAGTAAAATTTATGTCTTTTCTTTCCGAAATATTTGTATGATTGAAACTAATTACGTTATTCAGACATTA